TTAGGGAGAGGCGACGCCTGGGATAGGTCGAGAGATTGAATGAAGAAAAAGTTTGAAGAAAAGCAAGTCAATCATGTAAGAATGCACTACTACCTGATGCCTTTGCTTCTGACCCCAAAAACAAAGCGCAGTTCTACTATATCTTTTGTAGTGGGTCTCAAAATGGGTGCAAAAGTAACGGCTGCGTTCATTGTAAAGTGGTGCTCATTTCAAGCTCCAAAGCAATTGTGCGCACCAACGCCAATGGTAGCCGCGAATCGATTTCTGCGACTTTTCGCGAAATTCGCGAATCAGCTGTGAACAGTGTAGCTGTGCTAATTAGTCGCATTCACAATCATTATTCAGATAACTCCATATCGATTTATATTTCGATATTGTTTCTCTTGTAATTATATAGTGGGCGAAGCTAAAAACCTTTGCCAAATATATCTGCGTTTATTCGGTATCTGGGAGATCCTTTTGTCGGAGTTGTATTTGATTCTTAGCTTTTGTGTGTCCGTATTTCCAGAGTTGTACCACAATTTTCATAAGAAGCAGCAGTCATGTCGTATATGTTACCGCATTTGGAGAATGGCTGGCAGGTAAGCTTACTATAATAGTTGGCATCTTCTTATTCCCAAATCGTATATACATTTGAGTTTTTTATTTCTTTTCGGTTTGACAATGAGCTGTGACGTAGCATAGAGCATTCATTCATTCTTTTATGGTAATATTCTAAGTAAAGGTGGATAATTTGAGTTATTGTGTTTAAGGTGGACCAGGCCATTCTGGCGGAAGAAGACCGAGTGGTAGTTGTGCGATTTGGACACGATTGGGACCCTACTTGCATGCGGATGGATGAGGTAGCATTTGAAGTCTAGGCTGAAACAGTCTGCTTTCAAATTTGTTACTATTTCTCAGACATTGTTCAAAATCGCTCCCAAAGTGAAGAATTTCTCTGTTATTTATCTAGTCGATATCACCAAGGTTCGTATAGTCAGTTTCTTTTTTTTAGATTGAGAAGTTCAGGAAAAAATTTCAGGTGCCTGATTTCAACAAGATGTATGAGTTGTATGATCCTTGCACGGTGATGTTCTTCTTCAGGAACAAACATATTATGGTGGATTTAGGTATGTTTGATTTTACACAGCAACTAGCCTACTCAGTACTTCATGTTAAGCGTAGCCGAATTCAGGGACTGGTAACAACAATAAGATCAACTGGCCGATAACGGATGGACAGGAACTGATTGACATCATTGAGACTGTATATAGGTAATAATTCATTTTTTTGGTAAACTTCGGACAATAAACTTCGAGCAGCTCTACAACAAGTAAATGGAAAAGTAGAATTACTCAAACCAATTTTTTGAACGATTTTTTGAAGAAGCTCTTTGGAGCTTTTTTCGGCTGAAACTCGAAACTTTTTCTGAGAAATTCTTGATGCAGATCAGATCTTGGTTACAAGAATGTGTCACTTTGCATCTTTCCCTTGTTCTAATATTATTGTTTCCAGAGGTGCCCGCAAAGGACGAGGTTTGGTCGTGTCACCGAAGGATTACTCCACCAAATATAAATACTAACCTGTTGTACAAATGTTGGGTTTATTTATCATAAATGTTTTCTTTATCTGTTTCTTCCACAATTTGGTGTCATTTACGCATGATTTACTTCTTTCTTATTGTACAGACTATTTATACTTTTGTTGAAGCAGTGCGCAC